CATTCTCAGTGATGGTCGACTGGATCCAGTCTCCTTGGACCCAGCCTTTCGGCAGGCGGGATCTGGACGAGGACCCTCCGCGGCTGGTGGATCTCCCCTTCGCCTTCTCCGACGCCGACGCCTTCTTTGCGCGCTCCAGCGCCGCCGTCTTCTCCTTGGCCATGGTCGCCGGCGAGATGCGCGAAGAGAAGTGGTGCGGAGGCGAGAGCGAGCACGCTGGGCGGAGAAGAAGGAAACAGAGAAAGAGAGAGAATGCTGAGGCGCAGCACAGGAATCCTCGCCGGGCGCATTTATAAGGTCCCTTCCGAGTGGATGACAGGTGGGCCCGGTCGATCTAATCATATCTGGAGCAGTTATGCAGACGGGATACGTGGCGAAAAGGGCGGCGCGGAGATCGAGGCGTCCATGCCCCGTCCCATCCGAACGCCGCGGTCCGCCCCGCTTCGCGCGCGTCCCCAAATTTTGCATCCCGCAGAAACCGCGAACAGCAAATCAGTCTGACAGGCGCGGCGTTTCCGGCGATCCGTCGCTCGGAGATCGTCGAAGCCTGAAAGATCACTCGACGCAAAAAACAGAATGGATCGAGTCGACTGAAGGCAAGTTGCTTCCTGTCGACGAAGAGATTCTTTGGTCCAGAACAGCGCACAACCAGAGCGCAAAAGTTAATCGGAAACGACATCAACTCTTTCTTCACTCGAAGCCTCAATCCATTCGGGGGCTAATGATGGGGTTATGTACCTAGGGTAGGGTCATGGACCTGATCCAAGTAACTTACCCCAGGACATCCTTAGAAGAGGTCGCCTTCCAGTCGACCAACGAGGATTCACTCGACTGGCCTGAAGGACTCGACCATGAAGACTCACTCGACCACCAGGAGGTCAAGAGGCACTCTACACTGCAACGGCCTGTAATCAAGTAGACTTTATGATAGTAAAGGCACTTTATGTGGGGCGTTACCAGTAACGCCCCAGACTTAACTCACCTTAAACCCTCTCCTGCGTGGGCTGGCTGGGGTCCTGGCGCACTCTATATAAGCCACCCCCCTCCACAGGCAGAGGGGTTCGGCACCTTGTAGCTCATATACACATAATCCACTCGACCGCCTCCGGGCTCCGAGACGTAGGGCTGTTACTTCTTCCAAGAAGGGCCTGAACTCGTACATCCTTTGTGCTTACAACCTCTCCATAGCTAGGACCTTGCCTCTCCATACCTACCCCCCACTCTACTGTCAGGCTTAGAACCACGACACCGCGCGCCGCCGTCCGTCGTCATCCCGCGACGCGGTCCCGTCGTCGTCCCACGCCGCCGTCCGTACGTATCTCGCTCTCTCTCCTCGCGCGTACCCGGCAGCCGCGCCGCACGCCGTCCGCCCCGAACGCCGCGCGCCGCCGTCGAACTAGAGATTAGAACTAGTTGAATAATTAATATAACTAGTTTATTTTTAGTAAGAAAATTTAGGTATATGAGATTTGAACTAGTTCAATAATTAATATAACTAGTTTATTTTTAGTAAGAAAATTTAGGTATATGAGATTTGAACTAGTTCAATAATTAATATAACTAGTTTATTTTTAGTAAGAAAATTTAGGTATATGAGATTTGAACTAGTTCAATAATTAATATAACTAATTTATTTTTAGTAAGAAAATTTAGGTATAGATTTAAACTAGTTCAATAATTAATATAACTAGTTTATTTTTAGTAAGAAAAATTTAGGTATATGAGATTTGAACTAGTTCAATAATTAATATAACTAGTTTATTTTTAGTAAGAAAATTTAGGTATATGAGATTTGAACTAGTTCAATAATTAATATAACTAGTTTATTTTTAGTAAGAAAATTTAGGTATATGAGATTTGAACTAGTTCAATAATTAATATAACTAGTTTATTTTTAGTAATTAAAAATTTAGGTATATGAGATTAGAACTAGTTCAATAATTAATATAACTAGTTTATTTTTAGTAAGAAAAATTTAGGTATTTGAGATTTGATGATCTAATTAAAATATTATTTGTTAATGAGTTTTTCTGTTTATTTAATTTTTTATATATTTTGAGTTTATATAAATGTTAGATTAATGTCGAATGTTAGATGAATTAGATAGAAAAGTTAAATATATAGTAATGTCAATTGAATATATACTTAGATATATTAATGTCAAATGTTAGATGAATATATATTTGGCTAGATATAGGTGTTTAATGTTTCATCTATATGAACATAGGAAATGTCATCTGACGACGAAAAAGATTTCATTATGTGCGAACACTGTGAAGACCAGCGTGGCCTGTGCGACCAAAATTTCCTTGTTGATGGTAGGCGCTTCAGCATCAAGCTGGATGAGACATTCGAAGTTGATACAGTAAGTCACTTTGTCAATTATTATTTGAATGCAAAACTTATGCTTCATTTGCTTCAACTTATAATTTTAAATTTTCACTATTCTACTAGCGCATCCCCTACCATGCAAGAATTTTTGTCTTGGATAAGATAGGTTTTAGTGCTATAGATGATATGGAGGTAAAGAGAGTTTACTTGAAGACGGAGCATGGGTATACTTTCAACGTCAAATTATATAATGGAGACACATACACCCATTTTGAATGCAAAACTTGGCAAGCACTATGCAAGGCTTATGCATTTGAGCCTGATATGGTTATTACCTTTGATATTCGTCCGGACGATGATATTGAAGGTAATATAGACATCTGGGTCGATGTGCAAACGCCTTCAGTTCTACCATTTGGTGACTTTTTCTCAACCATGCATGCATATGTTTATGTCTTTCATACAGTTTATTCAAAAATAGTTGACAACTAATTTGTATTGTTAGCTTATTTCGGTTCAAGCAAACATGTCCGGCGCTTGGTAGATAGGACCTACTACTGCCCCAGGGCTCAACTAAACTGCGAGGAGATAAGTCATTATGTTTCATGGCTTGAGGATCTTAATACTGTCAAGACAAATTTTTTTCCTAAACTTAGAAATGTTAGTACTCAAAATGTGCGACCAATGGTGATCGTATTGAACTACGGTCACATCTATAATCGAAAGATGGTAGGTTTTTAAATATTTGTCCTTAATTAATTAGTGCATCTTTTGCATACATTATTTTTGAAGCTAAACTTTCATTGCTTAGTATATTAATTACTGAGTGAAGTGCATCATAGGTCCTCGAACTATTTCAGAGGTGTCACATAGGTCCTCGAACTATGAAAATCGTCATCCACGTCCTCAAAGTGCAACATGTGTGTTATCCTGGTCTTCAAACTATTTCAAAGGTGTCACGTAGGTCCTTAAACTATTTCAGAGGTGTCACATATATACACACTTATTACTATATACGATGTTCTTCAACAGGGACTTCCGATGACAGTTGTGCCTCAGTGGATCGAGACTAAAGGTAACATGTCAATGGTTAGCTTACGGCCAAGATATCCTACATTGCACATAAGTGCATTCAGGATTTCTGAAAGCGAAGAATGCTTAATAGTGAAAGATTGGAGCAAAATTGTTAACGATCGCAGAGAAGTACTAGGGGTCAGCAAGGAGAAGCGCAACCCAAGATTAGGAGACAGATTCATCTGCATGCTCCAGTATGATGAATCAGGAGAGCTATACATGTTCTATACTATTCTACCTGAGAGGGAGCAGTAGGAGTAGCTACTAGTTCATGCTCTTAATTAGTACTTGTCTCATGTCCGTGTCCTGAACTTCGATGTTGGTGATGATTATGTTGAACTTGATGATATCTTTGCTTCTGTTACAAAGTGACTGTTTCCTCTTTAAGCTAGCCAGCATTGATGATGATTAGATAGCTAGCGGTAATGACTATGATGATTAAATAGTGGTAATTAGACGATTATGATGATTTTTAGCTAGCTAGAGTTTATTTATTTATTAATATGCGATGATGATGATGATGATGACGACTACAACTCATTATAACGTAAAACAATCCTAAATTAAATTGATAACACAAATTTAATTGAAAAATACAAAATAAAACAAAACCCACAACCATTTAGTACCGGTTGGTGTTACCAACCGGTACTAAAGGGCTCCCGGCCACTGAAGCTGGCTCGTGCCACGTGGTACCCCTTTAGCACCGGTTCGTGCTGAACCGGTACTAAAGGGGGGGGCTTTAGTGCCGAAACTTTAGTGCCGGTTCCTGAACCGGCACTAAAGGGCCTTACGAACCGGTGCTATTGCCCGGTTCTGCACTAGTGAAAGCAAGCATAGTTCCTGAAGCGACAGTCATGCTTCGGATTCCATCATAAAGGACTCGGAAAACATTAAGGGCCGGTCATCTCAGTGGTGTGTGACTGGGTGGCGACCATGGTGGCGTGCCCGGCAGCAGCTGCTTCCTGGAGGGACGGCAAGCAGGTTACGATGGGAGGGGAACCCGACGGTATGTCCGGCAACCGCCTCTTCCACGAGGGACGGCGAGCAGGTCGTGTGGTGGTGGGGAACCCGATGCGGCCGCTTTCGCGAGGGACGACGAGCAGGTCGCCAGGGAAGTCGTCAATGGCAGCAGAGATCGGAATCTATGGCTGTATCCGATGATACATTAGGATTTATTTAGGAACATTAGAAGGTACTTTGAGATTTGGATCAGGAATGACGTATGTGTTAACATCTGAGGAGGGGCCTCACGCGGAAGGCCCTGACCGTGGTAAAAATAACGGATATACCCTTTTATAAAACATAAAAAGAGTATCCCACCTAATTTTGGCACCGGTCCCACCATTACTTTGTAATTTCATGTAATTTCACTCTCGTAACTCCTTGTAACTCTAATTTTATTACCGTCAGATTATAGAGCATGGACGGCCCCTAAAATCGCCAATCACCGTAACAGTTGTAATGTACTATTATTGGTTGAGCAGGTACATCTCAATTACAATACGAAGGTTTTGAAGAAAACACACCTCTTTTCATTTTCTGAAAGACCACACTTAAGCATGATTAGGGGAAAATGGAGATAGTTAATTAACCTGAGAAATGCAGTCACCCAGTGCAAAACCCTCAAAGAACTGCTGGAAGGAGAGGGCAGCAACCAGAGTCTTGATTGTACACGTGCTCTGCGAAATACCTAGTGATAGCCCGATGATCACCGAGTGTGATACAATTCCAAGTTCCAAAATCTTGAAGGTTGTCCATACATGCAGCAAATGACTATAAATAATTAGGCATATATACATGCATCAAATGACTATAAATCTTGAAGGTTGGCCATTCATTACATTATTAAACCACATGAAAATAGGCCATTGTATTAATCCACACACCAGCTAAAATATTTTTTTCATTGATCATATGACTGGCTTGATTAACATAGTCCACATCACCTAAAATATATTTTCTATTGATCATATGGCTGGCTACATTAACGCAGTACTAAATACAGATGTATTCCCTCGAAGAAAGAGATTTATGGTAAATACAGCTACATATATAGACATATAGTAAATAAGATCTTCTAAGAAGCACTACCTTTTCTCTAGAAAGTAAAATCAATTTTGTATCACAACTATTATCGATTCAAAAAGTTAGAAGTGGAGCCTATAAGCAGTACGTGCTTAAACTGACAAGGTTCCAGATGGTAGTATATACTGCTAACAATAAAGAGCAAGGATTTGACGAATTCAAAGTATCTAGGCCCTTAATTAATCATGGTCTTCATTTAATTTCCTTAGTTGTACATCGATCCTCACAATAATCTAGTATTCCATCCTTTCCGGTTTATAGGGCTTGTCTCAATTTAAAGGGCTCATCTCAATCTCATTTGAAGATTCTGGGGGCCATTAAATCACTGCATGCAAGAATTAAAAAGGAACACACCAATGCATGTAATATTCCTACTCATCTAGTCGACAAGCATGCATGCATTGCAATTAATTCAAATTAATGCATCAGTTTAATTTGAGTAGTTTTGTGAAGTACGAGAAACATTCCTCCACCCACCATATACCTTGGAAAATAAGTATAATGGTTGGTATTTGTCAATCCGAATCTAACATATCATAATGGTGGAGATTCTATACGAATGTAGTACTTTTTTGTGAGAATAATAGTGACATACTATATACACTGATGAAATAAAACGTGGGCTGCTCTCCCTTCAGTATGCGCAACTCTAGATCCATGGTGTAAATTTGAAACATAACTCACAAACACAGAAAGTGTATATTTTTTTAAGGGCGTTGCAATGAAATTTAATATAATTGTGTATTAAACCAAACACTAGCATGTTTGTTTTGTGGGGTACTGCTTTCTTGACCAGGCTACAACAAACTAATCACCTCCTACAGTCCGTGGTTGGCCAAAGAATGAAAATTATGTAATTATTTTTATTTTACCATGTCAAATTAAAGATATGACTATCAAATATTTATTATTGATCCACTAGAAAGAACCTGCAACGAGACAAATATTTTAATATTGTCTTGAGGAAAAATATCGACATGTTGGATCCACATTATAATGATGATGGATGATCGGGAGTAGCAGCACGACAGGTTGGAATTGCTACCAAAGACTACTCCACCAAAAAATTGGTCATGGCCAGAATGCTGATCCTTGTTTGGATAAATATATATGATGATACTATTCATCACCCGGGGGTAGAATAAGTTATTCTGCATCCGAGATAATTTTACGATCGTTTTATAAATAAATTACCATTGGAATACAAATAGTTATATTCATATTGATTCACTATGTAAAATTTGGCACAGGAAAAGAAAAATATAGGTCATAAGACCAAAAAAAATCGTATTTTACGTATATTTTACACTATATTTTTACATCTGTAATTTTACATGTCAAAGTATTTTTTATGGCGAATGTATGTTTTCTTACATTCTCTTTTTACGTCTAAAATAAGACAAAATTTACGGAATGTAAAATTATGATGTATTAATGTTGAAACAGAGGGGGGGGTGAAGAATAACTATTCCTCACTGAGGGTGACGAATAGTCAATCCCTATTCCTCACTTCAGGATCAATATATACCGAGACATTTGCTATTTTTGTCCATGACACATCCAGACATATTTTTTTAATCTCACCGTTGGATCATGTTATATTATAGGTGTGTTGGTTCAATATTGTTTAGTAGTTTTAAGAACCTTTACACCTTCGAAAACTTTAACTAGTTCTATGGTAAGCTATTGTAGAAAATCCTACTCCTATATATATATTAGAAAATTATATGTCCCAAAATTCTTGGCTTAGATTTGTCTAGATGCGCATGTACTAGACGGAGGTTATATATATTTTTTGGAAAATTATATGTGTTTTGCTAGTTAAATTGATGACCTACATTCCCATGCGAGGCTTATATTTGCATCTGGAGGGAGTATGTAGATATGTTGGTTTATCATATATGTCATGCTATTCCATGCATGATTAATTCTTTTTTGTTGCGGGAAAGGAGCATGCATGATTAATTCGACTAGCACATTTGTCATCACTAGCACATTTGTCATCTTTTCCTATTGGTGTGTCACTAACCCCATATAAAGATGCAACTAATTTGCTGAAAGTATATAGCTTAATAAAAAAAAGTTGCACCCGGAGTATATGTGCGCGTGCAATGTACCCGGGAGGTTGGTGTCACGTGCATACAATATGCGGATAATACCATGACTATGGTGGAGGGGGTTGAAACTTGATATCATCAACCTCAAGTTCCTTCTTCTCTACTTTGAGGCCATGCCGGGTCTTAAGATCAAATTTGATAAAGAGTGACATTGTGGTTTTAGGATTCTCGGACGACGATCGGTAGCGGATTTCGGACAAGATGAATTGCAGGTTGTAGTCGTTCCCTATTACATACATAGTGATGCCGTTGTCTCATACGAGGGTAACCTTGAGGGATTTCAACCCGCTTATTGCTCTGGTCGCTTCTAGGTCGGTGCCATGGTGTGACCGTGTTAGGTCCAATGGGAGTAAGTACATTCTTATTGACTCCGGCCACTTGGCAGCCTTTTTTCTTCTTTCTTTGCATTCCCCTTGGATGTGTTTGTGCTGATGCCCCAGCGGGCGTTATTATTTTCTTTGGTGCACTTGAACTTGTTGTATGAACTGCATGATTGATTTATCTATAAAGCATGATGAAAGCCTGCTTTGAGAGAGTTCCTTCTTGCACACATACTTAAGCAACTAATTAATTAAGCGAGAGTGATATAGTGTTTTTGAGCTCGTTACGATTATGCTTGCCTGGTATAAGCTATCCCAAAAAACAGCATCGATTATGCTTGAGCTTGAGAGGAGGGGCAAGGCAAGCACTGTGTTCGTACCTGCGAAACCACCACTTGACGAGCTTGGGACGGGCCCTCCTCGTTCTCGTGGCCATGGCCGTTGTGCACTACTCCTTCGTAGACGTGCGCATGGCTGTGCCCAAGGTCGGCTTTACACTTCTCGCCCCCTGTAGTCCTCCCGTCCTCCAGCAGTGGCGACCCCGTCTCATGTTGGGCGCTCGTTGTGGCGGAGGCGGCAGCGGCCATATCGCGCTGCTTACGCTCGTAAAACTGTGTGCCGATGAAGTCGACCACGAGCGTGACGAGGCTGGCGAGCATGGCGACAGAGCCCGCGAAGGGGAACTGCCGCCACGGCGACGAGTCCGGGAGGCACGGGTCCAAGAATTTCTCCTCCGCGTCGTGCATCATGTGCACGTACCCCGTGCCGAGGACTACCCCCGCCGCGAACGCCTTGGCGAGCAGGAACGCCCACCCGCCCTCACCGGCTCGAACCCCGCCACGCCACCTGTGGCCGACGAGCGGGATGGCGACGCCGGCGGCGCTCGAGACAAGGATAGCGGCGACGGCGACTATCTTGAGCTGCAGCGCCGCCGCCTCGTTGCGGCAGACATCGCCGCCGCCATCCCCCGTCGCCTCCGCGTCGCAGCTCGCCGCGGAAACCGAAGCTGCCACCCATCATCAGATATACTGTATCAAGCAGTGCCGCCGCGTCATAGTCATACTACTACCAAGAACCATCGAGCGGTGCCGCCGTAACTAATTAGTAGTAACATGATATATCTACGTACATACCTGCGAACCGTTGTAGGTAGGCCAAGAGGGCGACGTACGGCTCCATTTCCTGGTCTCTCGACGAACGCCGGCCGACGAATGCGGTCGTCTTGCTCTTGTCCCGCAGAACAATCGGATGCGAGTTGAGAGTTGAGAGTTGAGACTCCGGGCAGAGTTTACAGCCATGAACACATGGTATCCACTGCATCAGCGCGGCGCATGTTGTCATCCCGCCGCGTCCGCGCCTGGTGGAACGTCGGGGGGTGGGCCAGGGTCCACATGCTGGGTGACGGCATAAAAAACATGAGACAGGCATGCGTGGTCTTCTCTGTGTGTGTGGATTTCAGGACGCGGAGGTACGATGTCGACACAATGACGATGTCTGGACACGAAGGTACCTTGTCGACACAGTTGTTGTGTTTGCTTTGATTTTTCGTGCACAATTAATCTAGAACCCAATGTGTCAACCATAAGGTTTCATAAAATAATATGTCAATGATAAGGCTCATGACTCGACTTTGATCGTTAGGGATTGGTGCAAAGATCATTTCCTAAGTAAGCTGCAAGCAGGGCTAATTTTAACAACCGATGTAGTAACAATGAAACCCACTCCCTATTTGACGAGGCTGTACCAGCAAGTGTGTCAAGCAAAATATGCCATTGTCATGGAACGCCGATCCCAACAGCAGATAATGAGGGCTGAGAACGTTGACCACGAGGACACGTGTAAATGATGAAATACTAACACATCCACTCCTTGTGGGAGCCGATGAAACTTCACTCCAGGATCAAGGCAACCTCGAAGACGTCGACACACTGCAATTCAGTGGTACTATTTGAGTTCCCTGCGGACACCTCAAGAGGGTAACGACGCAAAGTATCGTCGCCGACAAGCACGAAACAACCGTCTAGGGTTTTCACCAGAACCCAGACACAAAGAGAAAACCCGCAATGACACCACAGGGGTAAGCGACACCTGCATGCATAACTGTTGTGTGTGCCAAAGTGCAGAGCTTTCACTCACATCCTCACCAATGCCACAATAGACATTCAGACCCAACCATCTAGACAGACCATCAAGGGTCGATGCCTTGGAATCAAAGTCGGACTCACCACCAGCACGAGAGTAAAAGGACACCTAAGAACAAAGGCACCAAGAAATGGACAACATCATAGCAGAACCGCCGTGAACCGGACATCCCGATGTCGGTCCACGCGCTGGGAGACCCACCTTTGTCGTGGCACGGATCAAGAGAGGCTAGCTTGCATCATCGCCGGGGCAGCCCTAGAAGATGGGCCTCCACGGGCCAGATCCGGTGGATCCCTAGAGGTCCTCCGCAACCTAACCCTAGATTCCCCATCACCGTACACCAGACACCCTGCACACCACCACAGCTGACGCCGGCCATAACCTTGCTCGAGCACTCCCTGCCCCGCATCGGTGAGGACATCGTCTCCCGCTGCCCGAAGAAGATGTCACGCCACATATAAAGAAAGAGAGCAAAGCAATAAGTAGGACTTTTACGGACATTGGGTGCCTAAACATGGTCTGTCCTTCTTTTATCTATGTTCTAGATCCACCGATAACCTGATGTAACATTTTGTATGCTTTTTTTACTTCTCACAACTGCTCTTTCCACATTCCTGGATATCTGGTGCCAAATTGCTGCACCTCTCCCTCTAGAAATTCGTTCTAGTATAGCTACTAGGATCCGACGAAAACTGACGCCGACCGTGGGGACGTCACAATATCATATTGGTCCTAGTAAACATCATCATCATGAACTGGCGCCCTGTTTCTCTCAACGAGGAGTTTTTGATGTATGATCCAATTATCTGTTTTATCACGACGAGACTTCTATCGACATATGTGGCTCTAGCAATGTAGGATACTACCAAGTTTAAGGATGCACCAACAAGTTATTTCTCGTCCGATTACCATCCCTTATCCAGAATATGTCGGGCCTATAGCATGCATGTGTATCAACCAACCACTGTACCATGGTTCCGGCTAGCTGGAGCTCGATTCACCCCTTAATGACTCACCAGGTTTAGGCTCTCATGCCAGTATGACTTGTCAATCAAAATCCTTCCATGTTGGGGAATTCAACTCATGCCTCCCATGTGAATACTTGGGTCGGAGTTGAAGCCATCACCATTTTGGACATTTTCTTAGGAATGTGATATTTGCAAAGACGTTGTGAAGTCATAAAACATGGATTCATGTCTTGCATCATCAAATCTGACCTGAATAACCGCGCCAACAAAGTGGGGGAGAAGCGGACCATCATATGTGGCATCCATCTCCTTCTCATAGGCATCAAGGGTAGGCGGGGTGCTCGGATATTTTGAAGAAACCTTTAAACGGACGATCTTCATATATTCAGCGTCCCAACCGACAAACTAACTTCATTATCATTCTTTTCCATAGATATATGATGATTATTTATTAGCAGAAATACGCGTATCCGGAAAGGAAAGAAAATATTTGATAGATGAAGTACCTGGCTTAAAGTCCAAATTGTGCTGGAAATTTTTACGAAAAAAATTAATTTGGCTAATACTCCAACTACGATGCCCAGTACATGTGGCTACACCTAGATATTATGTTGTAAACTACATAATATATATAAGTATATGCTACTCTTTCTCATATTTGTACCATCTAGAAATTTTTACATAGTTTATCATGGATGGGCGTGCGATCATGGTCGAGTTACTGCCTTGGTATCTAGCTATTTTTGTTGCTCTTGTGAGTGATTTAAAAGTTTCATTGTCAGCTCCTTAGCTGTGTCTGTGCGCAAGCTTATCCATGCTCTCTAGTTAGCTTCGCCATATAAACTTCCTTTTATACTTGCCGCCATACATCTTGCTTTAATAAATAACTAACACAAGCATGCACATAACACTACATAATGTGCACATCGAAACACAACCGTTGACCTTGCAACAAGGGCCTGCCCATTCTTTCAAATACAACCTGGCGTTGACATTCAAATGCAAGGGCCTGCCTCTTCATTCAAATACAAGCTAGCGTTGACTTATCAAATACAAGGGCGCCTTTGTACGTAGTTGGCTACTCATCCTAAATTCGGTCAAGCCGCTTAGCAGCAAGGTAATTAAATTATCCCTAATCGCTTGCCCTGCAGCAACTTCTCTTCTCGCTCCATTCCTGAAATCTCGATCTGGTGATGTTCTTGTCTTCCATTGTAGCCATGAAGTTCGCCAAGGAGTACAAGAGATATATGCAGGGGATGAAGGAGGAACTGCCCACTTTGGGGCTGAAGCGTCTCAAACAAATGATTAAGAAATGCAACACTATTCCCTATTGCCCGCAGCTCCCCGGCGACGACACCACCATGGTCGTCACGGGGCATAGCCAGTGCACCGGGGCCGGCCACTGTTATGGTAATTGCTTTGTGCTTGTTATTTTCAACCAGTTCTCTATTGTTCTCCAGAAGGCCAGCTGTTCTTTGTAGAAAGATGGAAACCCCAGCCTCTCCGAACGACTAATGCACTTCATTCTTACAAAGTATATCAGTAGAAAGGGTTTGAAAAGCAAACTCTCAAAAATAGTTTGAGCGAACACAAATATGGATCACAAGATACACTTGTGTAGCACGCGTCCTATTGCTAGAGACCACCATCTATGCCGGTTGAACATAGTTTGTGCTACCATCTTCAAATACGTGCACCTAAAATACATAACATCCTACACCTTTGCATATGGATCCAGTGGGTGGCCATATGAATAAATTGCAAAAAAATGGGAAGGTTTTTTTAACACAAGATCATTACGAAAAATTTCAAATAGCACAACATAGAGCATACACCCCGCCCGAATTTTCGGCTTCGGTTGTCCACTTATCTTGGATAACTAATTTTAAGACATGCTTTGATAAACTAGTAAGTGTGGGTCAATTGAAAGCCCGGTGCACAATCTCCACATGAGTCGTCTCTCCCTCATGGCAATAACATCACTTCTGGTTTCCGTTATAGTAGTCGATCCTTTTTTTAGATCCTTAACAAGGTTATCTTTCGTTAAGCTTATCCCTAAATACCAAGTAAATTAGTGATCCATCTAAGTTTGTGAAATCAGTAATTAATGCCCTAAGGGAGTAAAGGGCTTGAAAAAAAAGATAGTTACCCTCTAGCCCTAAGGGAGTAAAGGGCAGCCCCGGTGCATGTAGCTCCCACTTGCGCAGGGTCCGGGGAAGGGTCCGACCACTTTGGGTCTATTGTACGCACCCTTTCCCTGTATTTATGCAAGAGGCTGTTTCCAGGACTTGAACCCGTGACCACTTGGTCACAAGGCAACAGCTATACCACTGCGCCAAGGCTTATCTTGTGAAAACATGCATTGTTCCATTTTGAGAGATATCATTTAATTTTGCACATCCTACATATGTGGTGATATTATAGGATAGAGGTAGACAATGTAGGGTCCTCCTTGATTTATAGAAAATGTGAAGAAAATAATAAGAATGAGGAATTATTTTCTTGGTGCCATTATCCATCAAAATTGGATTCATAGTAATTAATGGTGCAAAGAAGAAACAAGAACAATTTTATTTTGATCTCCGATTCAAAGAGAAATGCCATATCTGTACAATCCACTTAAACCTCTTTCTAGATTTTGTGTGTGCAGAGAATAAGATGAAGGTGTCATTGCCAAAATAAAATTATCATTTGCTTATTCTTTTACCCGAAAAGAGGGTAAATTCCCGGCCTCTATGTCGGCTATACATGCAGCTATTCTGTTGCAAAATATTAAGGTATTATATAAGGAGTAGCAAAAAATGGAAGTACAGGGGAACCACAGCTCGACGGGACTACAACAACCACAATAGAGATTACATGCTACCCATAGTAGAGATGACATACTACACCTCATGTCTCACAAGTTTACTTTTGTATGTTCTTTGCATTAATGTGAACACCTTTGTTATGACTCCTTTGTATTTATTTTCCATTTTCATGAATCAAACACCTAAGTCTACAAAGTTCATGCATTCTTCATACGAATCAAACACCTTAGTCGTGCACATGCATTTATACTTGTTTTCCTATCTGTATGTTCCTGAATATTTAAAGAGTTATTAATGAAGGTATAGGCTACATGGCCCATGATCAATATTTGACACTAGCTATTGCATGTGCAGTACGTGATGAGAGTTTCTTTCCATCCCTTGCCAATGAGCTGTCAACAATCGTTTGCTGCTTCAATCAAAGGGTCGAAAAGTTACTTAAATTGCATGTAGCATCCACGGGATTGAGGAAGTACTTCATGTGGTTCACAAACAGGTCTCAAAGGACTGATGAGGCACTAGTACGGCAAGGAAAAGACCTAGTTACCTATGCTATTGTAAATGCTGTAGCCATGAGGAAAATCACAAAGAAGTATGACAAGGCATGGCCCCTAACTCAATAATTCGGTTTTCCTGCGCTACATATATATGTTTTCTAAAGAAAAGCAAGCAGTTTTAAGATGGTCTCTTTTACCTCATCTTTTCACATGGGAGGTAAGAGTGTATAATAGATCTGAGCCGTTGATTTCATTAGGTAGTGGTCTGAGTAACTCCTACTTTCTTACCTCCCATGTGAAAAGAGGAGGTAAGACGGACATGTTAAAATTACTCAGTGTTGTCGATGAAGGGAAATTGACAGATGGATGACCAATAAGTCATAATACTTGGTTGTGAACACTCTATTTATCTATCCGAAGGTGCAAAAAGGCCAAAGGCCCCCAGGGCCTAGACCCAGGTCATGGCCCTAGAATCCTTCATTGACTGTAGCACTTCTGCTACTGTTCAACATTGTTCATCATGTTTGGCTCAGGCCGGATCCAATCCAGGCTGCGCCCCTGTATGTCTCTTTATTTGAAGATGCACACCATACAGTATTAGTCTCATCAATATTGTTGGTGTGAAATGGTGATTACTGCGGCAACATTACCATCTACTGTCCCTGCTTTGATAATTAGATAGTCACAAGCAACTACATAATGATAAATCATTTTCTTAATGGCATAATGATAGCATCTAACACAAAAAAACTTGCAGAAATGTTGCTCGAAACAAGGGCAATCTTTCAGAACTGAAGCGCGGAGGCTGCACATCGAGATACTTGAATCCCCGTGGCTGCACGAGCTCATGGCTTTGTACATCAACTTGAGGTGGAACAACACCGTTTCAATGGAGCTCTTAGTGGACCTCTCCCTCACATTCGGCGATGAGGATAAGCCGACGCTCTCTTGTAGCCTCTTGGATTCCTTGCGGGTCGACATTGACTTAACCTGTTCAATCTGCTTGGTAAGTTATGGATATAAATGCTCTCACATGCTAGCCTCTGACTTGGCGGTCCGATACGTGACCCACGTGTCAACAACTATTTTAGAGGGTAGTACTGCAGAGGAGAGTACGTGAGCTATACATTTTCGGCCCTTTTATTAAAGCTTTTTTGTGAAAACTCGGACTGCTGAAGAGAGTGGATGATATAACTCAATAAGATGTTTGGTTTTGCAGGACACAGTGTTCGATGCAGTTTCTCTTTCATGTGGCCACATCTTCTGCTACCTGTGTTGCAGCGCTGCAGCCTCTGTGACAGTTGTTGATGGACTCGAGTCTGCAGATCCCGGATCAAAATGCCCGATTTGTCGCCGGGTAAATCTATCAAATTTTTGCTCAATATTTTCTACCAAGGTCACCTGATCAGAAACGTATATCTTTGGCTCTGCTTTAGGCCGGTGTCTTTCCTAACGCTCTGCGGCTGAATCAGCTCAACATTCTGCTTAGAAACAGGTAATAATTAATTAAGTGAATTTGAGAAAAAAATAAAGGGGATAATAGTCTTCTCTCTCTCTCTCTCTCTCTCTCTCTCTCTCTCTCTCACACACACACACACACACACACACACACAAACGTGTGCACTATTTTTTACGTAGAAACCCTTCTTTCAGTTGACATTGCTGATCAGTGAAATACTTCTGCCTTCCTACAGTTGCCCGGAGTACTGGGAGAAGAGGATGCAAACCGAGCGTGCTGAGCGTGTTCGCTTGGCCAAGGAGCATTGGGAAAGACAGTGCAGAGCCTTCACGAGCATATGATTGTACGAGACAACTCGGGTGTCCTGGCTTCTGTCTGTTATTTTTATCAGTTAGGTTGCCTATATGATAAAGTTTATTCAGGGATGCCTTCCTCGCGTGGTGTCAACTTTAGCAGTACTAAGACTTCGTTTGGCATTCAAGTGGATTGTAAATAAAAATCTTGTTATATATCAAACTGTTTTTGGATAATCGAATGCTTTGCCCGATTATCAATCCAGCTTCCTTTGAAGATTAAGATCTTTCTATGACAATGGATCCGCAGGCGCATCCCCTTCTGGGGTCGAGGTTCTCAAGCGCAACGGCCCCGGTGATGGTAATTGCCCCTTGTGCGATACGGCGGAGGAATCCAACCACATTTTCTTTACATGTGCGACCGCCTAATTTTTTTTTGAAGTTGCTTCCGTGAAGTAGTTGGTGGAGGATGGTGCCACACCGACTTCACTGAAATCTTCTCGGAACTGCAAGCTTCTACGTTGGGACACCACCACATTAGGTAGCTGGATATCGGAGTCCTCATTTGGACACTCTAGATGATTCATAATAAACTTGTGATTGAGCGTGCTACCTTGCGATAACCTATTGATGTCATTTACAAACTATATGGTTACCTGCAGCTGTGGAAGCCGCTTAGTCAAGGACCGGAGCGGAGCACCATCGACCTCATCACTACCGGTCTCCGCTCCCTGGTGTCTCGCCTATCGCAATTTGCTACAGCCGGCATCACATCCTGCTACAGCCCAGGCGCGCGCCCCTGCAGCACCGCCATTTAATGCACTCCGTCCATCCATCTAGCTCCACGGCGACCAGCAAACCTCCACCCCTGGAAGCTGCAACCAGCTAAGCCATAAGCTACAACCGTCATCGAATTTTGCTACTACCGGTGACAGGTTTGCTATATCCATCAAGCCGGAGCTGCGACCTACTGGGGCAGTGGCTTTTTTTGTTGGAACCGTCCTCAGATTTAGCTACTACTAGCGAGGGATTTTGCTACATCCATCATGGCGGAGCCGCGACCGGTGACGGGACAAGATGAATTGTTGCAACCATCATTGTATTTTGTTACTACCGGCAAGGGATTTTGCTACATCCATCATGGCGGAGCCGTGACCTGCGACGGCGGCGACGACGAATTGCTGCAACCGTCGTTCTTTTCTGCTATGATTGACGATCTTTTCTGGTACATGCATGAACGGCGTTGACATTCTCAACGGAGTCCATGTATAGCGTGTTAATTCTGTCTGATGTGCCAGGTGATAATAATAAGAAGATCTGAAAGATGAAGATACCTCTTAAGACTAAAATCTTTGCATGGTATCTTTGTCGCGGAGTTATTCTTACTAAAAATAACCTTATTAAGAGGAACTGGCATGGAAGTCTGCAATATGTTTCTTTTGTCATCATGATGAGACAATAAAACATTTATTCTTGCAATGCAAATTGGCTCATTCTATATGGTCAGTCATCTAAATAGCTTCTGGCTTGTATCCGAAGTATTGCTAATGTATTTGGCAACTGGTTACATGGGATTGACCATAGGTTTAGAACTCTTCTCACGGTGGGAGCGCTTACTATTATTTGGTCGTTTTGGTTATGTAAAAATTATACTGGTTTTAATGATAAAAATACTTCTCTGATGCAGGTTAGCTATAGATGTATCGAAACTCTCTGTTTATGGTCATCTCTACAACGTGTGGAGAATCGACAATGGCGGAGACAAGGAGGGGCGAGCAGGGGCCTGGCCCCCCTAACGGTTGAGCATTGTTGTATACTACCTCATTTTCTGTTTATAGAGCTCAATTCGAAAATCTCACCAACCAAGGTAGATAATGAGTGGTGAAACAATTTTTATAGTTTGCAAAACCACTTAATTAATGTGTTTGTTTTCTTAAAAAAATTGTGTTTACCCATGCATTAATTACAATGCATGCATGCATAAAGTACATGCATTGGTCAATTTTCTCTTAATACTTGCATGCAATGACTTATTGCACCTTGAAATCTGAACATGTCATGAGGAACAACCAAATTGAGACTTACAAAATGAAAAAACTAAAAATTTAAGATAAGCTCTGAAGCGAAAAGGAGGAGGTAACTACGATAAAAATGCATGTATCCCCGCGTATATACATACTCGCCCACGATAAAAATGAATCGGAAATGGAGATAAGGATGAACGGGGTAAAACCTTATCTGTAAAGATGAAGAGAGGTGCGGTATCTTTTGTAAAATTGTCATAGTTTGCTTTTTATCCGTCATATATTGATTGGACGGTCTATATTATAAGATGGCAGGTACATCATCATTACCAACTCAGTTTTTATAAAAGTAGAGATTAGAAAAAGAAATAGGCCCAAGTGAAGCCCACTAGCGGCCAGGATTTGTAAGTTGCATGTGAGTCTCCAGGCCTGGGCGTTGCGTTCCCATGTGATTAGCTTGTATTTCCTTCATTCTTAAATATTTGTTTTTTTAGAGATTTTAAATGGATTACCACAATACGGATGTATATAGACATATTTTAGAGTGTAGATTCACTCATTTTGCTTTGTGTGTAGTCACTTGTTGAAATCTCTAAAAAGACAAATAGTTAGAAAGGGAGGGAGTATGTGGATTAGTACGCAGAAAGTAATCGCCACCGTTCCGTGCCAAATTATCTTCTATGAGTTCCTTTTTGTGATTGGAATTTTCCTATGTAGAATTCATCCAATATAGCTAATTGGAGATTGTAATTCAGCAGCTATGAAGAGAAAAGCGTAGCCAAACCCTGCTAAGCTTAATTAATTTTAGGGTATATCCGAGGGACCATGTCAGTCCAGAAGTGCCCCCAATCACTAGATACTAATTTATCTTTTAAGTATCGCCAAATGGGAGACGACTTACTTTAGTATTGCATGAGAACATACGTTGAAAAAAAAGCAGGTAAGTTCTCTTCCAATGAAATTATTAAAATTTTCATTCATTTATAGAGGTAAATATGAACTCATGCAACTGTATAGATGCTTTGTAGTGTTTGCTT